TTTGGGGAATATTTATATTTTGCAGGGCCCACACATATTTTTTATAACATCAAGCTTCCACTGCCAAAAGCTCTGTCTGATATTTTTATTTTCTAGAGTTCTTCCAACCTAGGGGCAACCAACATTTGTAAAGAATTCATTAAAGAGCATTGCAAGGAGTAAATATATTTAAATACAATATTTAAATATATAAAAGTAGTAGAAAGGGGAAACACTTTTCCTTTTTTCTTTTTTTCTTTACAAATAAATGATATCATCGCGTGATCTCTTGGTACTGTTTGTGTCTGTGCGATTCACTGAAATTGTTTAGATTGTAAGAAATTCTATTATTATTGTTATTGTCGTTGTGTGTTGTGCTGTAATTAATTGTCAATCGTTTTTTCGTCGTCGTGAAATATTCGTTTCGTTAAAGTGAGATAGATCACCGTAAATCGAATTATTTTCCTAGCGAAAAAAATGCACCAACAATTTGGGCCTGGGTATAATACGAATGACCGACGTGACCGTATGTCAAGGAGAAATTTAGGGGAATTAATCGATTTAAATGCAACGATCAACCATAACAATGAAATAGTTCCACCAAATGACAATGGAGCTAATTTAGGTAGACAAAATTCCGATTGTCGTTTACCGATCGTAAACGATGACGAACCGTCGCCAAGTAGACAAAATTCCGATTGTCGTTTACCGATCGTAAACGATGACGAACCATCGCCAATTAGACAAAATTCTAATAGTTGTTTAATGGATCTAAACAACCACGAATTGACTGAAATATTATCAAACACGTCGACTACGAATCAAAACAACAGTCATGCAAATAGCTCATCGTATGTGGAAATTCAACCTTCGAACGAGCGTGTGAGAGAGATGGAGACAGCGACTGCACAACAACGAGCGGCATTTCCGGTAGCGACTGGTTTGTTGTCTACTGATAACCGTGCCAGTGGTACTGTACACCAACACACCCTCACTGACCATTCACCTATACCACGCGCTCGCACCTCCACACAACCTGACACTCGAACATACACTCACCATGACACACACATACACGCTCACGCATACCATGTCAATCAATCACTTACTAAAACCGATCAAATTGTGGTAATTGAATTAATTAATAAATTGAATACAGTCGACGGCACAGATGAACTTGAATTAATTTCATTCCTCAAAAATAGTAAGCCAATATTTGATATTTCTCCGAATTGTCACACTGATATCATTAAACTCATTATCCCTAAGGTCAAAGGTCAAATGTTCCAATTATTTTTAGAAGCAGTATCAAAGTAACGTACGTTGGAATATCTTACATGACGAAATATTACACAGATTTATTCCGTCAATTAGGCGACGAGAGATTGCATCGTTTGAATTGGATCGACCACAACAACCGAATGAAACCTTTTCGGAATACGTTGATCATATCATATCTATCGCATTCGCTTTAAAATCGTCAATGTCAGAAGGCGAGGTGATTGAGATCGCTTTGACAAAATGTAATCCAATTGTTCGAAGTCATTTTTCGTTCGGTCAAATGCCGCAAAGCTTATTTGAGCTAAAATCATTCGCAAATCGAATCACTAGTTCAATGCGTGCCGAAGAGAGATATTTTGGTAATGCAAATCGACGCCCACTGGTTAATTCATCGCCTAGGGTTGTGAATCAAACTCGTCAGAATTCGACTACGTCGTCAAACGATCTACGAAATAGACCCAGGGAAAGGATCGTAAAATGTTATCGTTGTCAAGGTGAAGGTCATATCGCTAGGAATTGTAGGGTTTCTTTAAACTAGGTTCCGACGTTGTCAAGGTCAAATGACGTCACACAATAACATCGACGCCCATTTTAAGCATTTATTAGAGTAGCTCTGCGAATATTAGAGGTCGCATGTCACCGGTGTAGGGCGAATAATATCTTTGTCTTTGTCATAGCTTGGTACTTAGCATTAGGTGAAAGTTTGTACGTGCATCGAAATGATCGCAAATGTCAACAAATTCGCCGAAATGCAGTTGAGGAGTGTTTTATTTAGGTTTAAGTCGATTCAGTTGTGATTGCCGAAATCAGTTGTTGCGTTCGTAATGGGATTCGGCCTGCATCGAAATGATAGTAATTGTCGAGTTCCAAATCGATTCGTAAACTGTTGTGATGGTTTTCGTCAATTGAATCAATATGCCAGCTTGATAATAAAGAATTGATATGCTCCGCATTCGGAAAAAACCGTGTTGTGAAAATTCCAATCGGTCAGACAAGAAGCTGCGAAATAATGTTTTTAATGTTCGTTCATGTGCAAAACCGTCGGAATCAATGTTTGAAGTGTCAAAATGTAAATGTGTGTACTTAAATGTTTTGTGTCGACCATGTTTTTAATGTTTTAGAAGTAACAACATGACTTTTCTCAATTGAATGAAGTTACCATTTAGACTAAGATTAGAAAATATTTTAATTACAAATGAGAACGCAAAACAAGTTTTAATTAAGGGCAGCAATTAGAAATAAGTTGTGAGTGAACAAACAGTGGGGTGAATCGACGAGTGCTGTATCTGGTGATGCAATCGAGGAGGCCGAGGTTGGACAACACTGTTATCGCTGTGCTACTGATAGCATTGTTGAGCGCTGGCCACCACCCTTCCCCGCCTCACCTACCATCAGCTGTTGGGCCGCTGACCTACTAGAGCCAATGCACTCACCACAACAATGGACTACTACGAGCCCAGCTGTTCTCCGCTTCTGACATCACGCTCTGCTGATTATCACATGGTGGTACATCATAGTGTCTGTTTTGTGCGCGAAACGCCGTTGCGTGGTGTTAAGGTGTGGTGAATACTGGCCCTTTGTCACAAGAGTCCATTTCAAAAATTGTTGTTACCATTGTTTAAATTGTTGTTGCCTTATTGTTGATTGTAAATTGTAATTGTGTTTATGTGTATCGTCGTGGTCCACCGGCTAGACCAAAAATGCTCCGAGGTAGTACGATAGGTTGGACTGTCCTAGGCCGATCACGGATCATTTTTTTCTGCTAGGGGGCATTTTGTACCGATTTTGTTGCAAAAGGCAACAAATCAATACAAGTTAACGCGAAGAACAGTCAGCTGTTTTGAACAATAGATCAGTATAGACCAGAATGCACCACGCACTAAAGGAGTAGAGGGGATAAGGTCTAGTCGGATGGTTAATTGCTTCCAGCAGTATCAGTTCCTCTCCAAATCTCAACGTAACTAGTTCGGTAAAACTTTCGTTTGTGCAAATTAAATTCATCTCGCGGCATTTGGTCGGGCAATCTCAAATTTCCTTAAAGTCGTTCAGCCTATATCCCTAAGGGATATAATTGCCTCGCGATCGGAAATTAGAATTTGTGTTGTTGTCAAAAAGTGCAAAAGTTCGTTACCGGCCAAACGCGGTCCGCCATTTGAAAATTTCTCAAACGTTCACACGAATTGATCGCGTCTTGTAGAATACCGACTAGTTACATTTCCTCATCCTGATCCCTTTGTTTGTGTTATATTTGTGGACGTCCAAACTGTAAGTAATTTGTGTTATTTATTTGTCATATATTTAAATTTCAGTGAGTCGCATACTTTGTAAATTTTCCTGTCTTGTTTTGTTAATTCATGTAGAATAAGCACATGTTCCCCGGTTCGATCCCAATTCGCTGATTTTCATATCCATTCATATTGTACCGTAACAATCCTCTTTATTTATTAGACTGTGGTAATACAATAGCATTAAGAATAAATAGATGAAAATGTTTTTATAGGGTAATTCAGAGTTGCTTTGTAATATTTTTATATAGTATTTGAATTTTGCACAGAGTCATTATTAAAGGTACAATTCGTCAAAGAGTGTCACAATCAGTATTTAAATTTGGGGGAATCAATTAATATCAAAGGAGGAATTAGGTAGCTGGTTCGGCTGAATCCGGAAGTGTTATCGGAGGCTGTGCCAGTTTGCATATAGATGAACCGCCAAAGTGCCAAATTAGCCATAAAACAATAAGCGACGTTCCAGTAAATATTATTACGATTAAACGCAATACTGTTTAATCAGTTGACCTTCGAGAATCGACCTTCATATTTACATCGTTGGCCAACGAACAGGACTTGCTTGGCACTGGTCATCTCAAATTAAATTAAAAACCACTCCTCCGTTGACACCTTCGAGATCGGTGTGAAACCGCGCCAAATATTCCCCTTTGATAAATCCATTCAACGTTCTCAAACAAAACAATTCAGTCTGATTGTATCACTCACGGTCATATTTTATATTACATCACACAATCAGAAATTGTCAAACCGAAATCATTGTAAATCTTAAATACTGCTTAATAAATCAAATTGTTACTCCTTTTTAGTTCTCAATAACCTTGGTAATTCAGTATATGCAATAGTATCTAATTGGTAAACAAAAGGTAATTCAGTAAATCATAAGCCACTACAAAAGATTCACCTTTTAAGTGCAACACTAAACACTAGTGTAGTAGCGAGCAAGTAAATTCAGTGTAGAATTAAGACTGGTAAATTGCTCTCATTAAAGGTATTACATTTTTGGAAGAACCATAACAGTACCAAGGGCGTCCCCTAAGGACCTTTGGGGAATATTTATATTTTGCAGGGCCCACACATATTTTTTATAACATCAAGCTTCCACTGCCAAAAGCTCTGTCTGATATTTTTATTTTCTTGAGTTCTTCCAACCTAGGGGCAACCAACATTTGTAAAGAATTCATTAAAGAGCATTGCAAGGAGTAAATATATTTAAATACAATATTTAAATATATAAAAGTAGTAGAAAGGGGAAACACTTTTCCTTTTTTCTTTTTTTTCTTTACATTGTCAGGACTTAAAAATTTACCTACACAAATGAGTGTGCTGGGTTTGAAAGGGTTAATATGTTACAGACAAACTTTTTGGAGTTATTTTAACACTACACATATCTACATTATAATAACAAAAATCACTATTGGAAATTTGTGTTCCAGAGTAAAGAAGAGTCTTGAATTGAAACCAGGAGTCATATGTTTATTAGTTAGATTATTAAAAAGAAATACAAAACATCAATTATTTCAAAAGTAAAAAGGATAGTACTGTATAAAACAATAAATAACATTAATGCTATATTCTAACCCATGAAATAAATGAAAAACATCAAATTCACATTTACAATTAATATAATTCGTTCTAGTTTTTTTGGTAACAAGTACAGTAAAACCCTGTTTTAACCGCAACCTGTTAAACTGAAAACCGGTTAAGTTCAGTTAAACTTAGCTTAAGTTCAGAAAACAAATGTCAATTATTTTAATAAATAATTTTTTTTTTCCATACAGTTAAAGAATTTAAAATGACAACAATCTATATATAAAGCCAAAAGTACCCATGAACTTTTGAGAAAACTGCAAGGTCACACTCCCATAAACCATATACTTAAAATGTTCGTCATGATGAGAAACCTTGCGCAAAATTATCCATTATTTCATAAATTGCCCTATACGGTCGTAATTGCTTTCCAAAGGGAACTTTCCATTTACCTATTAAAAATACCTCAGCTGTTATTATTTGTTTGTATTACCATTACTGTATTCTGTTTTGTTTATTTCATCTTAACTTAACCAATCAATAGTTTTATTAATACTAATGTAGTAAAACGGGGTGGAGCCCGTGGGTAACAGCTAGTTAAAATTACACGTAAAAATCACTGTTGCAGATCTCTTTGAATAGACTCAGTCTTAAAATTCCTAACAATGATTCACACAAAAAAATAGGCTATCCAAACTGGCTTTTCCCACTTTATTTTGGTTAGTCAGGGTTTTCTGTACCATAACGTTAAATGTCAAAATCTATTTCACTAAATAAATAAGAATCCATAAACATTAAAATGTAATGATTCAGATGGTTTTTGACTACAAAATTATTTACTTTACTCCAAAATCAGATATTTACTTACAGATGTTCAAAATCAGATTATGCCCCTAAGATTCCTTTGGGGGGTCAACATTTCTAAAAATATTGAAAAAATAAAGGTTGTTTAGAAAAGTATTAGGGTTATTATTATATCTACTTAAGATAGAAGAAACAAAATCAGATTGTCCTCAAACACCATTATTCATCAATATACCTCAATACAGTTTTGCAACTTACTGTAAGTACAAACCTCCTGCTTTAAAAAATGGTTCGAAGTGCAACATGATTAAATGGTAGTTACCTTAAAACATGGGCATTTCAAGACAACAATATTTGATATAATCTGCTTATACTAACCTTTTGCATTGCAATTAACTGGAGGTCAACTACTGTTAAATTACTGATATAAAATTTGTATCCAGAGTAATAATAAGACATAAACATAACTTTTATAAATTAAGTAAAAATTCAAATAAAAATTAAATTATTGAACAAAATACCACAAAGTAGGCATCATAAGCTTAAAAACAATATAAATTATTTTAAGTACTGGTATTCTTTCGGTTTGATTTATATCCTTGCTTAAAAACTTGATACATTTAAAGCATCAAACTATTAAAAAATAATAATAACAATTACAAATAATATTACTTCTTATTTAAGTATATTATAATATCCTGCATATCGTTATATTAAATAAAACTAATAATACTTATGTTGAGAAAGAGCCCAGGGAAATAACGTAGAGGAAGGGCTCAGCCAGACCTATGAAAATACAAAAAGGTTAGATTACATTTGTTGTTGTTAACTGAGTTCTGGAGTAGGGGATGTTAGTTCAGTGATCTTCTTCATTTATCGTTTTATGAAGACCTCTTGATGCCAAGGGTGACACAAACATATTACTTACTCAAGAACACAGGCAACATCAACAAAGTTGATCTGTACTGTACTTGAAATTGGCATTTAAATATATAAATAATTATATATACAGGGTGTCTCAAATTGATTACGGAAAAACGGCTTAACGTACAAGGATGAAATTAAATTATTTCCCTCTAAATCAACCCCAAGAAATAACGTAAAAATATTTTTAACTTTTTCCCAATACAGGGTGTGCCAAAAACTGAGGGTCACTAGTTCGAATCTCGGAATTTTCAAATGTAAACATATGTCATGTTATACATCATTTTAAAGGTATTTGATAGAAAAACATTTTGGTGAGAACAGAAATAAGTTATCTTTTTCCGTTTCAAAATGGCGGCAGTTTTTTGGGAAAAAATCTATATTTTTTTTATACTCTGTGTTTCCTATACCAATGCATTTATCCCTTCTCCGGTTGAATTTTCTTACTCCTTATGAAATTAGCTTTACTTTGATATGCTACAAGTAACGGTTTTTTGAAATTATAAAAATTCCAAAAAAATTTATTTTTGAAAATTTACAAATGCTTATTTTTCAAAAATTTCAAATAGCAACATACGTCAAGTGGCACATCATTTTATAGGTTTTTTAATTCCTAACAACGTTGTAATTTACACTTACTTCGTATCTCTTTTAGTTTTTGCGTAAATAACAAAAACCCTAATTTTCCTATATCAAATGCATGTTATTTATGTTTAACACTAAAGCCCAATTTGATGAAGTGTTAAACCACGTCAAACCGAAATTACATGCGTTTGATATAGGAAAATTAGGTTTTTTGTTATTTACGCAAAAACTAAAAGAGATACAAAGTAAGTGTAAATTACAAAGTTGTTAGGAATTAAAAAACCTATAAAATGATGTGCCACTTGAAATATGTTACTATTTGAATTTTTTTTTAAATAAGCATTAGCAAATTTTCAAAAATAAATTTTTTTGGAATTTTTATAATTTCAAAAAACCTGTAGCATATCAAAGTAAAGCTAATTTCATAACGAGTAAGAAACTTCAACCGGAGAAGGGATAAATGCATTGGTATAGGAAACACAGAGTATTAAAAAAATATAGATTTTTCCCAAAAAACTGCCGCCATTTTGAAACAGAAAAAGATAACTTATTTCTTTTTTCGCCAAAATGTTTGTCTATAAAATACCTTTAAAATTATGTATAACATGACATATGTTTACATTTGAAAATTCCGAGATTCGAACTAGTGACCCTTAGTTTTTGGCACACCCTGTATTGGGAAAAAGTTAAAAATATTTTTACGTTATTCCTTGGGGTCGATTTAGCGGGAAATAATTTCATTTCATCCTTGTACGTTAAGCCGTTTTTCCGTAATCAATTTGAGACACCTCTAGTGTGACACCCTGTATATTATATATTTATTTATTTAGGCTATATACAAATATCCCCTCTGCAGCAAACCAGCAGACTAAGCGAATTTCAACTTGTCTGATTACATTTCTACTAAAATATTTCCATAAATTAGACATATTTATTCCCAATTTAAATAACATTAGATTTAACGAGTGCTTAGGTTTGCTGCTACGGGGAAGGTAAAAAAAAGTGTTTTTGACCATACGTCAATAGTATATGATGAAATAAATAAATTTGCCAAATTTTATCCATATATATCCATAAACAAGTAAACTACAACAGTTTTCATTTTCTCCATAAGATTAACATGGGAATTTTAAATTACACTATTTTAGAATTTTTTCCGTGACCGTTAGGCATACAAAAGCACTTCAATATACAAAATTATTTCTTTTTTTAAGCTCTACAAAATGGTTTAAAAAGAAATTGCAAAATTTTTTGTTTGTTGTTTTTGTGTTTGTTTTTTTTGTTTGGTAAAAATGGGAATAACCCATTTCAAATAAACGTACGTTCAAATAAACGTAGGTTTACACTTTTGTACCAAATTTCATCAAAATCGGATCATTTTTGCTCGAGTTATCGCGCTAACGGACACACACACACACACACACACATATATATATATATATATATATGTGTGTCACAAAGTATTTATATATATATATATATATATAAATTAATACTTTAATACTTTCTTATGAAATGGCGACCATACAAAGTAGGTATTTTAAGCCAAGTATGAATGGAGATGAGTGTAGGACGAGTGGCGCGATCTTGTAGTCTTGTTAGTGACTAAGGCCGACATTCCTTAGACGCAGCTGTTAATTAATAGCCCATACAGCTAATGGCAACTAAGGGACCTACAGTTTATAGTGGAATCCGAACCACGTTTTTGCCTTGGTATATACACGAATTGGTCTAATTATCAGGATAATATATATATACAGTAGAACCTCTTTAATCCGAACCCCTCTAATCCGAACGTCCACTAATCCGAACGCCTCATTGCTGTAGTCTATACACAGAACAGTAGTTTTTTATTAGATACTGTATTTATTGATATACACACCGTAATTATTTCAATTGTTATGTACAGTACTGTTTATTCCCTATGTTTACTATTGTATTAAATAAACACTGTATTTTACTTTATAAAGCATTTTTCACTTTTCCCTAGCTATTGTTATGTAAAAACAACAATATGTTCTGTAATCCGAACTATTCAATTGTCCGAACTACCCCCGGTCCCAATTAGTTCGGATTAAAGAGGTTCTACTGTATATAAATAAATAAATAAATATATATATATATACATATACATATGAATTTGAACGGATGGTGTTTTTGGCCTCTAGGGACCTCAAAACAAAATATTAAATCGGTCCCGGGTCCAGGTCGTACCATGAGTACTACGGTAATAGCTTATTTCCTATATGGGAAATTCGCTAAAAAAGTATCGCTTGGTAAATTTGGTGTTATTCTGGTGGTGTCCTTAGCTAATGCAAAGAATTAAATACATTGTGTAAATTAAGTATCGAAACAAATCTGTATTTCTTAAACCAAAATAGATAGAAATATACTGTTTGTCGCATTGATTTTTAACAAAGGTTCTGCAATTTTTCACATAAAAAATTTCGTTAACTTCCCTAACGGGCGGAGGTAGGGGGTGACTTATTTTTTTCAAATAGCATCCCCTATTAAGTGGTCCCTCATTTAGAAGGGTTTGTCAAAAGAAACACAATGACGCAAACCCGAGGTGAATATCTCACCCCTAGCCAAAATGGCGAGTATTCCAAAATGGGTGCTTTTTCACAAAAATCAAATTTTGGAATACCTGCCATTTAGACTAGGGGTGAAATATCTACCTCAGGTTTATGTCATAGTATTTCTTTTGACAAACCCTACAAAATGAGGGGTCACTCAATAGGGGTTGTTATTTAAAAAAAATAAGTCATCACCACCCCCTACCCTGTTACGGGGGTTTGAAAATATTTTTGGTGTAAAAAAGTGCGGAACTTTTGTGAACAATCAATTCCACAAACAGAATATTTTTATAGATTTCGGTTTAAAAAATACATATTTGTTTCCATATTTGTGAAATTGGTATTTTCACATCCAAGCATAAATTAAATTTTTGAATACCCGCCATTTCGGCTAGGGGTAAGATATCCACCTCGGGTGTACGTCATTGCATTTCTTTTGACAAACCCTTCAAAATGAGGGGTTACTCAATAGGCGTCACACAATTATTTTTTTGCTATTTGAAAAAAATAATTCACCCCAACCCCCTACTCTGTTAGGGGGGTTAAACAATATTTGTATAGCCTATATAAATTGAGGAACCTTTGTTGAAATCAATGCCACAAACAGAATATTTCTATCTATTTTGGTTTAAGAAATACAGATTTGTTTCGATACTTAATTTACACAATGTATAATTCTTTACTGAAGTGAGTATTGCCACTTTTACTTAGGAACTAAAGAAATGGATTCAAAACATCACACTATATTTTTTAGTTGTTTATTGATTAATTTTTTGTCCATCATTGTATATTAGCACCTTGAACAAATTATTTTTTCCTACAGTTACCTGACAAAGTGGGCTTCCTTGCACTGATTATAGCACACAAAGTAGCTAATTGCCGCATTTACTTACTTTTGCCAGGCCGCACTAATTTATTTTGTCGTACTTATTTTTTTCCGCACTCCAATATTCTAACCAAAGAACACAAACAGTGTGCTTTTATCAGGCAGGAAATACGTATACGCTTGAAAATAAGTTGGCAACACTACGACTACGATCAGCTGGTGCTGCGTTTCCCATTCTGTTCAACGCTTGGATTTAACCTAACCTAAAAATGTGTTGTATAGTGTTTGAAAGACTTATTATTTGTATGCTTTATAGTAACTGTAGGAAAAATATAATGTGTATCGGTAACGCGAGCGCAAAGTGCCACTTCGCACACTAGTTACACAAACAACTATTGTAAGCTCTCAAGGCTTTCAACAACATTTCAAACAATAAACACAATTTCGAGCCAGCAAAATCTCATGAATGGCTCTTGGTAAAAAATTATATTTTTAATCACCCTATATTATCAACTGTTACTGTTTCGTAATATGAAGGATGAAAGTATTGTTTGGCAGCCATAGGGTATAAAATCAGCTGTTAATTGATCTTATTTAATGAAAATGTTCAAACATTGTAAATGTACCACTTAGTCCAGTTAAACGTTTACTAGGCAAAAAAATCCTCACATTTAAAGAACACTTTCCTTTCAATATGACGTTGGTGAAATTAAATGTATTGAGTTTTGTCAAGGGACAGCATTATAACTGGCAACACAAGCAAAGGTAAGATGGCTCAGCCCTTATTAACACCCAAGATGTAAAGTCAACATGTACTAGTATAAATCACACAAAGTTGGTCCAGTTATTAGCTACACATTGATTAGATTCACACATTACTCAATTGCTAGTGTAATGTAAACACACAAGTAAATTGCAGAAAAAACAAACAAACACCTAACCATCTGTAACACTTATACATATTGTTTGACAGTTTGGCAACAATGCCTAAAATCCATCAGACTATTTTCATGCAGGCAATTACAGAATCTCGTTGGAGAAGATCAGCCTTTATTGAGTTTGTGCCGGCCAGCTTTGAAGTCATCATTGACATGATGCACTGAATGCCTCAAGTTTTTCTGCAACAGTTTTGTTTGGATGATATCTCTGCAGTCTTATAATTATCTAACAAATTTTACAGTTTGACATGTTTCTTTTCCGAACATTGTTTTCTCAACTGACTACAGTAAATATATTTTTAAGACAGTAAAGATCTGATGACAAGACAGTCCTTGTTTACTTGCTTGTAACATTTCACATAATTAATATTATTTTAGAATTAGCCGCTATACCTGTGCTTTGCAGTGGGAGGGGACAAGAAAGAGAAAATTTGGCACCTCTTTAAACCTACCGTAAGAAAACCTGTATCATTCAATTTAGAAACAAAATCGAACTGCCCCGATCTTGTCTACAAAAGTATATTTTTTTAACTAAGGTAAATGGTGGAAATTTATTAGGCCATCAAATAACAATGCATAGTGGCGAAAACCTTATTCAGCATCATGTCTAGCTAGTTTGCAGAGCCAACCTGCTCTTAACTGTTAACCCTTTCAGTGCTAGGCCAATAATGTATTTTGTATCGTATTTTTGTATTTTGTAAGACTTTTTTACCTTTTAATTCTATTACCTGTTGTTGAATTGTAACTTTTTGCTCCAACTATTTTATTAACCGGCTACAAGCCCGTACAACTGGCTAATTCGGAATAATAAGTCAATAAAAAAATATTTAACAAATAAAAGTCTTAGTATTTGCAGTAAAAATTATACAAAACTGTTTTTCGTTAAGTTTCCAAGTTTTCTTATAAATTTTTATGTTTTGATAGCATTATTTGAAACCAAAGTCTCATAAAATCGAAAACATGTTGTTTACAACGTAATATTGAATTAAATCTTGATGTAGTTATATAAGATTGTTATAATATAACATTTTTAGAAAAAACCTTGTTAAAAACTCCTTAATAACACCATTTATGATCACTATTGTGGTTCAACTGAAAAATATCAAAAGAGTCCGTGATTTAGTGCTGCTATCTAGTAACGCATTGAACAACTCGGTGTTGTGCCATCTGTTAGCAATTGTTGATGTCAGCTTAAATACAGGTTTTTATTCATCAGTTTCCAAGCAGAGATAGCCGAGGTGGCTAGGGCGTGTGTCACTTGGCGAGTGGCATTCGTCTAGTCTGGATCGAATCCCGTCCTGTGTGGCAAATAATTGGTGACCTGTGTGTGTAGCGATATACTACAACCACTGGGGCATAGTGAGGTGTTCATAATCCTTGGTTTAGACCTACACCTCGAATCATCGGATTGGACGAATCATTTAGCTAAGGGGTTGTTAGTGTATCCTGCAAACATGCAGGTCACCAATGGTCATTTTGCTACTTTTTTTTTCAAATAAGTAGTTTTTAGCTACTTCCTCTCTATATAACTTAGAGATTTTAGTAAACAATGATATATCGTTGCATAGCACTCAAAGGGTTAAGCAGCTCACACTTTTCAAGGTATAAATATTAGAAAATTTCTAAATTTTAATTATTATGTAAAATCTAAAAACTAAAAATAAGAACATTAGTGCCCCCCCCACCCCCCAACTTTGAAATCGGTTCACCACTTATGGGGGAGACATAGTTATAAGCAGTTTGCGACATAAATGTATCTGCATGGGGTGGCACCAGTTGGTACTCATTAGTGCTTGTCCATTGCTGCTTGAATCATTGCTTAGCTGGTTTAGCTTGTTGCTACACAAATACATCATGTCACTTAAAGCACCTACATATATCAGGTCACCGGAATTGTACCCCCCACCTATCATCAATGTCATTTTGACATCACACCTAGAGAGGATACAATTCCACCCCTTACATTTATTTTAGTGGCATCTAATCTAATGTAAGCAAGTGATCAGTGAACGTCGTCGTGTCACTTAAATCGTGTTCCCGGTAAATTACCACGATGTATCCGTGATCGCGAGGGATGATAACAGCGTTACCGTAATCGTGAGAGATGACCACAGCTTTGCTATGATCGTTTGAGATAACTATGATGTTCTTGTGATAGCAGGATATACCTGTTGCCTACCTTTGTGCCCTAATAGACAAAACAAACATGGAATAAACATTTACTAAATTAACGCTAGAGCATCCATAACCTGCTTCCCTCATGGACAAAGCTTGTAAATAATTTGATAACACAAGGGCTTTTTATAAACCGATAATGACAAACAGTGTCAATCATAACCAACGCTGTTTTAAGAGAAGTCGCAAGCAGCAAATTTCAGCTTAGTTATATATTTTTAATACTTACCTTATATTGATTACTTTACTACTACTAAATGAATTCATTCATACAAGAAGTCAGCTCAATCTTAGCTGGTGCGAAATCGCACAGGTCCCCCCCCCCCCTAGTGTGTATATAAATCAACAAAGTAATTGAATAGGCCTAATAACTAAGCTAAACTAGTTAAGTTTGTACATAATAACTCTACTGTAAGAATGGTAATTTGTTCACCTTAATCTTTTCAACGTAATTTATTAAATGACCGTGGAAAGAAGTTAATTTCTTTCGTTTGTGTTAGTCCAACATAATATGCCTAGCATATTATGATAGCACAACATAATAAGTTGAGCACAACATAAGTTGAATAACATAATATTCATTTGGTAACAAATTATAAATAGCTATTACTGGGAAAGGTGGACGAAATACCTGTTGTAAAATGTAGTTGTAGGCATCTGATACTAAGTATTTCACCTATTGTTGAATTTAAGCTAACCCATAAACATTTAGTATGTACTTGGAAAGGTGAAGGAAATATGAATGAATAGCTTCAGAGAAGTCTGTTAACCCTCTCGCACATTACTCGGAATGGCCTTCATTTGCAGCTTCTTAGATTATCCTTTCAAAACACGTCATTCGTATTATTTGGATGGCGGGTCACTCGGGTCAGTTCACTTTCGTGAGATTCACCTCTAATTTCTGATCAAAATATAATTTTGATTTTATCACAATAGAGATAAGGATTAAAGCTCCTAAACATATTCAAAGCTAGGGCACGGATGTTGATATAACTCTTTTTTGATTAAAGCACTAAACCTTTTCGTTCAAAATTTGACAGACAACATCCAGATTTAACATAATTGGATTTAATTAATTTGGTTTTGAATTGGGTTTGTGTTCAGTTTCAATTCAACATCACTTATTATGAAGGTATTGCTATCATGTCTATTTTAATTTCAGTCTATGAAATGGTCTGATTCAAATGTGGGGGTACAACAATTCCGGGACATACATCTTCTTCTGCGTATACGAGGGGGTACAATTTCACCCTGTACACTGACCAAATAAGCGTGAGTTCTAATTGGGGGGGGGGGGGTCTACAATTCCAGGGGGGTACAATACCACCACACCCATATATCACTTTTAGTGTAGTATACAGGGTGTCCAAAAAGTATAGGGTCAGTTAATTATTTTTTTTAAAATTTAAAATAGAGCTAAAAACTTTGCACAAAGTTACTGGACATAAAAATATATTTTATCAAAAACACAGTGATCCGTTATTTCCTCAGAGGGACAGCCCACTAGGAGTCAGAAGAAAATCATAAATGTAAGCATAGGTTGATATGCAAATCAAATAAAAGGTCCATATTAGTAGAATACAATGCCACAAATTTGAACACAAACGGACTACCGAGTCAAAAATGGCAGCCATTCAAAGATTTCTTGAATCTGCCATTTTGAATCTTTGAACGACTCAATTGTCATTTTGAGCTAAAATTTGCGGTATTGTATTCTACTAATAAAGCCCTTTAATTTGATGTGCATACCAACCATGCATATGGTTTTGATTTTCTTCCGACTTCTAGCGGGTGCCCCCCTGAGGAGGTAGAGCGTAAAACATCATTGCAAATTCAATGCATCTTTGAATAGCTGTCATTTCGGACTCGGTTGTCCGTTTGAGTTCAGGTTTGCGGCATTGTATTCCACTAATAAGGAGTGATATATCTTCATAAAATATACAAAATACACGTAAATTAATTAGTAAACTTTATTCTAAAACTAATTCAACACAAAAGATAAAATGTAAACAAAAACAATAAAATCAATAATAATCATCTGATTGTTTAAGCATATGACAATCCTCCCCCCTATTAAGCTGCTCTTAGTTGGTCGCAGTGTCTCTTAAATAACCGCCCGTCTTCTGATTTAACAAGATACATCACGTTCCCAAGCGGCCTTTCTACTATTCCTATTGACCACTTTTCTTCTGACATGTTTGAGTAATTTCTCATCAACACAATTTGTCCTTTTAAGAAACTTCTTCTAGTTATAACTTGACGTTTGATTTGCCGTGTGGGTGTCCCTCTCAACCATTAAATCCATTTAGGTTCTTATGTTTCTCCCAAACATAAGCAAGTATGGAGATTGTCCTGTTGCTGAATGGCGTGTCTTCCTTAGCTGTTTCAGTATCATGTTTATCTTATCCTCATTGTGTCCTCCCCCACAAGCATGTAAAAGGTTTTCACAGTTTGAACTACCCTTTCTGCTTGACCATTATATTTTGGACAAAAAGGAGCGATATTTTTATGTATTATTTGATATTTCTTCAGGTAGTTTTCAAACAAAGTTGATGTTAACTGAGTCCCGTTGTCTGAAACAAGGACATGAGGAAAACCGAATGTTGTAAATAGTTTGTCTAGTTGTTTTAAGCACCAGTCAGTTGTTGTCGATTTAGTCGGGATCACCTCTACCCATTTACTGTAAGCATCCACAACAATGAAGTAACTCCAGCCTTTTATTGGTCCTGCAAAGTCTACGTGAATACGTTCCCATGGCCCGCTTAGAGGTTCCCATGGGTGGATCGTTTCCTTAGGTGGACTTTTGAGTTTTTGTTGACATGAATTGCAATGTTTGACTAAATTTTCTATTTCCTGATCAATATTTTGCCAATAGCTGTAAATTCTAGCCTTTTTTTCATCTTCGTCATGCCCATATGACCGGCATGCAAACTCGTTTAGAACTTGTTTTCTTTAAGTTAAAGGTACACATATTCTATTCCCTCTGAACACACAGCCATCCATTA